CTCTAATATTTATATCCAACAAAGAACTAATATCCAAAGTATGTAAAGACTACTGCAATGTAACAGATCATATTGTTATTACATTATTATAATAATGTTAGAGTGATTTCTCACTCAAACATTGATTAATGTATTTTACACTTTAATAAAGAATACCTTAGGATCACCTTAATATCTATAATAAAAACTTATATGGATGCTCCAGTTCCTTGCATAAAAAGGAATAGCATTTGCATATATCCTACATGATAGTGATGATACTTCTAGAGACTGAATGCCCAAACCACAACCCAAAACCCACTTATTTATCTCAAAGTGCTAACACAGCAATGAAACGAGGTTTTAGTTCAGAATATATTAACATCTTTGTCTTAAAAGAAACCACATGTGCCAAAGTTCACTACCACTGGCAAAAATATCCTCTCATAATTTTTAAATTTTTATTTATGTATTTATTTTGTATTTTGAGTTTTGCTGTATATTCTACAGACATTAAATTCGCTATGTAGTCCAGCCTTGCCTCAAACTCACAGCAATTCTCCTGCCTCAGTCTCCCAAGTGCTAGTGTCACAGATGTGTGCATAACCATGCCCAGCAACCCTTTCATATTCTTTAATACATTTTTAAAAAATTTATTAAAGACTCATAGTGATCCTCCTGTCTCAGTCTTCCCCACGCTAAGATTACAGGCATGTGCCACCATGCCCAGTTTCAGTGGATGGCACGGCATGTGGTTCTCCGGCCAGCATGGCATGCAGTACTGGGGATCAAGCTCAGGACCTTGCGCTTGCCAGGCAGGTGCTTAGACCACCAAGCTATCCCTCCTGCCCCTCATATACTTTATTTATTTATTTATTTATTTATTTATTTTTTGGTGGAACCAGGGATTGAACTCAGACCCCTGTGCTTGCCAGGGAAGCGCTTACTCCACTGAGTCATCTCCCTGGCCCCTCCTCATATACTTTAAATCACCTCACAATTACTTACAATACTTAACACAACATAAGGACTATAAAATGTTACATAAACCAGGTGTGGTAGCACATGAAGATAATTCCAGCACTTGGGATGCTGAAGCAGCAGGATAGTTGGGTATTCAAGACCAGCCTGCCCTACAAAGTGAACTCAAGGCCAGCTTGAATTGGATAGGGAGATCTTATCTCAAAGACAAAATAGAATAGAATAGGAATAAGAATAGAATAGGAATAGGAATAGAATAGTTACATAAATAGCTGTTACACTGTATTTTTAAGGGAAAATAAAGAAAAAGTCTGTACTCATTCAGTACAAATGTCATTTTTGTTTTTTTTTTTAAACATTTCTGATGCATGGTTGGCTGAATCCTGGATGACTATACTTGAAGGATGACTATACATCAAGTCACTGGTCAAATGCAAATGAAATCCACAGTGTGATACCATTACATTCCCACCAGAATGACAAATTTTTAAACTGACACTATGAAGCATCAGTACGGATGTAAAACAATAGAAACCTAGCACACGGGCAGTACTTACTGAAGTTAATATACATAGGAAAAATTTGCCGGTCCCATGCACTAGTACCAGACAATTATTAGTTGATAATTAGTTTCAATTAAGTTTGATCATTTGAAGAATTAAGGAGAGCTTCCTGCTACCCTGCGCCGGCGGGACCAGTCCCAGCCCAGGCGCAGAGTGGGCCGGACCCTCTCCCAGCCCCTTGGGCCGCC